CACACACACACACACACACACATTTCCCCAATAAGTCATGCTGAGCAGCTTTAATGTGTTCATTTGATCATACTGTCTATCTTTAGAAGTAATACAGGTCTGTGTTAATAAGCAAATGTTGATATTTTTCACTAGCGAGTCTCTCAAGAAGAGAAGGCAGTGGTGGGACCCTGGCTTCTTGCCTTGTTCGTCTTTGTAGTATGTGGATCAGGTGAGTTATTGAGAGTTAAACATGTTGTGTAATGCATTAAAGTGATCATCCTTTGAATTTACTGACGACTTTTTCAATCAAATACATGCAAAGCGTGAACTTTATTTCATAACTCCATGTTTAAAGGGACAAAGTGCATTCATTTCTAATGCAGCCTGGTTCAAACCCCATCCACAGACAGAGTTTAAATGTAAAATATTCCTAGAATATCCGTAAGTCATGCTTTAGCTAGTGTTGCAATATTGGGGAAAAAATCATACGGGGAGATGTCTGCACTGTGAGTGTTCACTTTAATTAAATGTGGAGTTCAAATAGAGTTTTTCTCATGCATGAGTACACTATTTATTGGTAGCATGCTCTAACCATTGTGCAATTTATTTGAAGACGACATGAAATCTCTTTTACCTTCATGATTGATCAACATGCATTTTTTCTGATGAACATGCAAAGACGCTGAACAACTTCAAAAAACAAACTTTGCATTATATGAACTAATGTTATTTTACTTTCCTTTCGCTACAGCGATATTCCAGATCATTCAGAGCATCCGGATGGGAATGTGAGCGGTCATCGGCATTGTACATCAGTTTGTTCTCTTTCCTGAAGTTCACTTGATCAGTCCTCTTTTCTTATTTAATCTTCATCTTTCACCACAACACCACAGTCTCTTGTGTCTTACTCAAAAGCTGGAGGAACATTCTCTTCTGAAACATTACAATATTGCTGGCAATAAACTCCAATGACCGTTTGAACTTTTTCTGTGGAAAAAAACACACGTTTGTTTAAATGAATGTTGCATTGAATTTTCTATGTTGTAGGGTTTGGACCAGTTCATGTTCATTGTTAACATTATTCGGTACTGTGCACCTTTGGTTGGGCTTTCCTCTACATTTAGAGCTGAATTTGTGTTCTTTGATTACTTTGACAAGGAAGCGAAGGTCCACATATTCAGTTGTATGTGTAGAGAACATGAAAAACAATAAAAAAGACTTAAAATGTCTCTCTTTTTTGTCTTTAAAATACTTGGTAAAAAATACACCAGCCAACTGGGGGTCTGCAGATTTATTAAGGGGCCCATAGACTGGTTAATAAATATACATTTGAGCTCTTATCATAAAACAAATGTACATCTCTGTTGGCTGTTAGCATAGTGTGGTAACTTTTGTTTATGATCATTTTTTAGTGATTTATTAAAATTATTGAATTTAGTGGTTTCTGTAGTTTCTATAGTTAATATATTTCCATATTTAAATCACATCATAAGTCAATACATTTTTCATCTGATTTCAGTTCTTTTATTTTTATATATATATATATATATATCACACTCCTTTCTGCAAGAGTTTATCGATTATAGAACTGCATCTATTTTGTCTGTCTAATTGGAACAAACTTTTGAATCATACATTTGAATCGTATAAACACTTTAAATCAAGATTTGAATGCACTTGAATTAGTTTTATCTCAGATCAAGTTGACATTTATTTACCATGCCATTTTTCTACTTAACAAGAGATTATGAACACTTCGATATTAAAAATGTATACATTAAAAGACATTACAATTGATAAAAATGTGTAAAAATACATAGAATAATAAAGAAATAACTTAAAATCTATATATAAGATACACATAAATATTAAGTGAACTGAAAAATTAATAAGCAGAGGAAAGTAAATTAAACATCAACAGAATAATAAAAAAAATCCTCAAATTGTTTCAAGAATCTGTCACTTCTTTTAGAGTCTTTTAGTAAACATTAAAAATTTTACAAATAAAAAATAATAAATACCTAATTTATTTATAATGTTAATATATTGATATTAACATTAATTTAAAATCTAAATCTATATAATCTAATAAGCAGAAGATAGCAAATTAAACATCAACAGAATCATTTTGTAAAATTCCTCAAATTGTTTCAAGAATGTCACATTAAAATGTATCAAAAAATTATAAAAATAAAATAATTTGCTTTTAATATTCATCTTTTTAAAAACACATTCTAATTGTAATGAAGACATGGAAGATAACATGAAAATATTCATAAAAATACACACACACACACACACTCACAGGTTTGTATTTGTGAAAAGTGGGGACTCTCCATAGGCGTAATGGTTTTTAT